CCAGCGCACTCACGCTCTCCCGTGCAGTCATTTCTCCGCTATCTGGGGGCAGCTCAGCTGGCTGGAGAAGAAATCACAGAGTGCCACAAGCGTGGCACACCGTGGCGTGGGGACGTGGCCTCTGCTGTTGGATCCCCACGCTGTATCCAGGCATCCTGAGCTGTGTCAAAAGTGTGTGTTAACACGCAGCTGGAATATTTCATCATGTTAACCGGGACGAAGGCTGTGCTGATAAACTGGTGGAACTGATGACCCAGGAGGGTGTTCAGTCTCCCCAGATGCCATTACTTTCAATTAGGAGCTTGTTGAAACTAGGAGAGACTTTTGGGGGGATAAAAAAAAAAAAAACAAAAAACAAAAACATGAGAAGCTGGGATGTAAGTTATCAGCGTGGAATTGGGATGAGGTGCAGGAGAGGGAGCTGTGTCACCCCATGCCTCAGCATCCCTAACCCCGCTACAGCTGGATGTCAATGATTTTCACCCGGCATCTAAGGAGTCTGTGGACATTTAAGTGTTTAATTTAAAGACCTCCAGCAGACAAGCACCCTTTCCATCCCAAAATACACCTTCCAAGTGTGTTTTGGAGAGGGATTGAGCAGGTGGGCTTGAACACGTAGCAGAGATGGGGCACTTTTATTAATTTTGCAGGTTTTTATGCCCTGACAAGGTGTGTTCCATGGCTACAGTGGCTGTGTCAGCCTCATGGGAGCTCGATGAGCCAGGGGACACAGGGGTGGTCTCAGCACGTCAGTCATGCTGGGGGTTGGAGCAGGGGTTGGTCTCTGCCTGTGACAGTCATGCAGGTGTGTGTGACAGCAGCGCTGCCTCCGAGTCTCAGTCACGCTGGGAGAGTGACAAGGCTGGTCCCTGCCAGTGTCAGCCACGCTGGGTGTGTGACAGGGGCGATCCCTGCCGGTGTCACTCACACTGGGGGTGTGACAGGGGCAGTCCCTGCTGGTGTCGGTCACACTGGGGGGGTGATGGGGTGGTCGCTGCCTGTGTCAGTCACGATCTCTGACGGTGTCAGTCACACTGTGGGGGGTGATGGGACGGTCCCTGCCCGTGTCAGTCACATTAGGGGTGTGATGTGGGCAGTGTTACCCGCGCTGGGGGTGTGACAGAGGCGGTCCCTGCCGGTGTCAGTCACACTGGGGGTGTGGCAGGGGCGGTCCCCATCTGTGTCAGTCACACTGGAGGTTTGATGGGAACTGGTATCTGGCTGTGTCAGTCAAACTGGGGGAATAACAGGGACCGGTGTCTGGGTGTCATTCCCACTGAGCAGGTGAGGGGGGCTGGCCTCTGGCTGTGTCAGTCACCTGGGGGTGTGACAGAGGTGGTCCCTGCCTGTGTCAGTCACACTGGAGGTGTGACAGGGGAGGTCCCTGGTGGTGTCAGTCACACTGGAGGTGTGAGAGGGGAGGCCCCTGGTGGTGTCCGTCAAATCGGAGATGTGACAAGGGAGGTCCCAGACTGTGTCAGTCACAATGGAGGGGTGACAGGGGCCAGCCCCCAGCTGTGTCAGTGATGCCGGGGATGCACCGGGGATGGTCTCCGGGAATGGCAGTCCCGTGAGAGTGTGAAAAGAGGCTGTGTCAGTCACGGGGGTGTGAGGGACCGGTCAAGGGGGTGTGACAGGGGCTGATCCCTGGCTGTGTCTGTCACAGAGAGGGTGTGACAGGGGCTGATCCCTGGCTATGGCAGTCAAAAGGGGTGTGACAGGGGCTGATCCCAGCCCTTGGTGACGCCAATACTGCGAGACAGCTCCGGGAGGAGCGAAGGGCGAAGGTGGGACAGGTTGGGATGTTTTGGGGTGGTCCCAGTGCAGTCAGAGCTGCTCGTTTTGTTTCCTTTTTAATCACAGAATGGTTCACGTTGGAAGGGACCACGGTTGGTCATCTGGTCCCGCCTCCCCGGTTGTGAAAACGAAGAAGACAAAGAACTCACCGAGAGTTTGTATTTTCCTGGGGCGCCGCTAAAAACTTCCTATTTACGCTTAATCGGGTGCTGCGTTAAAAAATCCTTTGTGCAGAATAGATTATCAAACGGATTATCAAATGCTTTTCTGATCCAACCTGGAAATCCAGGAGTTACAACAAAAAACAGTGGGTACAGAGAACTGCTCAGCAGGTGAAGATTTCCCCTTTCCTTAACAAACTCACCTGTGCATTTTCAAAACTAAGCACGTGTAAGGTGCAGGCAGCAGACAAATCTCCAAACCCACAGCCAGTCGTGGCAGGAAGCCACAGAGTGTGGCCGTTCTTGCACAATCACCTTCTGCCCCACACCAGAAATTACTGCCCTGCAGGCTCCTTTAGAATCTTGTATCTGCAGCCCTTGAATTGAGCTGTCAGAGTTGAGCTGACAGAATCAGACAGTGGTTTTTGCATAGAAATTTGCTGAGAGTCTGCATCAATATGTGCCAAGGAAAATGCAACTTTGGGAAACTAAAGCATGACCGACCTGCTTTTTGCAGTAGTTTTTTTCCTGTTAGTTGTTTCATGGTCTTTAGAGCTTGACTGTAGATTTTGTAACTGTAGTTAGAACTTGTTTTCTCAATCTTTCTTCCAAATGCCTCACTCCTGAGATGCCCACTGACTGAGACCCAGAGATGTAGAAGATCCTGGCAAGCACCACAGGAAAAAGCATGTTAGGATAACCAGGGTGGAGCTGGCTAGGATAGCAAAACGATTCCTTGCTCCAGGTGATTTTAGAGAGCACAGCATTGGAGATCCTGAACTTTCTTTTAACAGCACTCCTAGGGTTCTGTGCTGGTATTCTTTCAAAATTCAGAGTCTCTAACAGCTATTGCAAGTCTGTCACCAGAGTTCAGTGGGCTAAAGGGAGCCCAGCTTTCCCCTGGGGAGTTAAAATCTCAACCTTCAGCCAAATATCACTTAAGTCTCTCTGAATTCAGCTCCTACTTAGGGGTTTTTTTGGGTTGTTCTGTGTAAAAGAGTCTGAAGCTCTCAGATGTTTTAAAGTGCTTATGACAGTCCTAAAACAAAGTAGCCAAATGTCAGAAACCTCTATGGCAAATAAAAAATTCAAATTTGACGGGTTGGGATGTTAAACCCTGCATAAAATATATTACACTCCCATTGTGACAGCAAGCAAGTTTGCATGTTTTAGTGAATTTAATGGGGAAAAAATTTAAGAAATTACTCCAAAGTAGATCTAGCTGACAAATTGATTACAGGTCCTCGTCTGTCCTGACATACTCTTCAAAACACATGACAGTGAGGTAGCATAAATAAAAAGGATTTGGCATCCATATATGTGCATTGGGAATATAAATCTAGGACAGGCACAAAGCACCAATAATGTAATTTTAATAGGAATTATATATTGTAAGGAAATGGGTGATTCACTTATTTTTCTGCCTTCTCCTTGAGGATTACAGCTGATTTTGTGTGTGTGCGTGTGCTGGAATAACTCATCTAGACTGATGGGAAAGTCTTAGAATGTGGAATTTAAAAAAAAAAAACATGTTCTTGCAGAGGCAACATATGAAAGGGAAGGCAGAGTACATTTAAATACCCCAATACCAGGAGGAAAAATTAAAATATGTGGAACTTGATAGAGCTGAGTATGTTTGTCTGAGGACCAGTACAATAAGATCTCTGAATTTTGTTTGTCATTTTAGGTTAATGGGGAAACATTAGCAGAGAGGCCTGTTCTTTGTTACCGAAAGTCAGAGGCGAGGTTTGGGACTGTGCTCATGAATTTGGTGAGTGTGTTGACACTTTTGTCAGTCTGAGTGTTGGGGTGTGTACGTGCTGGTTTTATTACCTTGCCACAGAAACCCTTTTCTGTCTCATCTCAGATCAACAACAGAAGACACGATGCACTGACTGGCACTGCCCTGGTTCTTTGATCTAACCCATGAGACATCATTTGGAGTGTTCTGCATTATTTATCACTACTGAAGTATTTTCAATTAAACTGACAGATTAAATACTAACTTTGCCTGGCAGATAATGAAATTCTTGTTTCTTTTCCAAGGAAGCTGACATGAAAGAAGCCAGACATGAGAGGGCATGGGAATTTGTACTGCCTGTCTCCACATTTACAAACAAGTAAGCACTGTATGATACCACAAAGAGGAGGCAGGCTTAGTTTCTGGTGCTGACAGTTGTCACACAGGTGAGGAATGCTCAGGTGATTCCAGAGAAGCCTCACAAAGGTTGGACAGCTGGACATGGAGGAATATTACTCACCACCTTCCAGTCCTGCTAAACCTTCAGTGCAATAAGAAATCCTTGGTAATTGTAATAAACCACAGTTTGGATTTTTAAAAATTGGCCATTCATCATCTGTGCCCCACACAAACATGCTTGGCTGTGGATGTTGGTGCATGTCCTTATATATTCCTGGAGTTCATCACAGGGATGGAGCACCTCTGCTATGAGGAAAGGCTGAGAGAACTGGGATTCATCAGCCTGGAAAATATAAGGTTTTGGCATGACCTAACTGCAGCCTTCCAGTACCTGAAGGGAACTTACGGGAAAGATGGAGCAAGGCTATTTACAAGAGCATGTAACAACAGGGCAAAGGGAAATGGCTTCAGACTGAGAGTAGGTTTAGATTAGATATTAGCAAACAATTCTTTACTATGGGGGTAGCGAGGCCCTGGCACAGGTTGCCCAGAGAAGCTGTGGCTGCCCCATCCCTGGAGGTGTTCAAGGCCAGGTTGGAACTCGACCTAGCGGAAGATGTCCCTGCCCGTAGCAGGGGTTTGGAAGGAGATGATCTTCAAGGAACCGTTCCACGATTCTATGAACAGGCTCCCGGAGCACCGGGGGTTCCAGAACCGCTCCGCCGGGGCGGCGGGAAGGAATCGCGGTGGCAGGATTTGAACGGGGCGGCGGAGCTGAGCCGGGAGCGAGGGCTGTCGCTGTCGTTGTCGCCGGGGAGGGGCCGCGCTGTCCGCCCGGTCCCGCCCCGCCGCTGCAGCCGCGGCCGCTGCGGGCACGGCCGAGCCGCCGCTGCGCCGGGACCGCCGGCGCGGGGGATGCGCGGGGGATGCGCGGGGACCGGGAGCCCCTCAGGTAGGGCGGGGGGAACGGGGCATCGGAGCGGGCAAAAGTTGGGAGTTCGTGCTGCCGGGAACAATAAATCCCTTTCTTTTTACACGTATATTTATTATCATTTTTCAGCCTACATCGCGGTTTGAACATCCCCCTCCCCCGCTGCAGGGACCGCACGGCCATGGTTATGGAGTTCCCTTAAGCCACTCAGCGCCAGCATCCCTTGGAAAGTTTTCCTTCCCCAAAGGCAGCAGCAGGTCAGTTAGGGGGCTGGAGGTGAGGAATACTCCTGTTACCCAGCTCCTTATTAAATTAAAGGAAATGTCTGAAGTTGGGGGTGAGTCGAGCCACGCTGTTCCAGGCAGTGACTAACGAGGACTAATCCAGATTGTTTTCTGTATCGCAGCAGAAGAAAGCGCGGCTTGTGTGGCTGATGAAGCCGGCCTTTCTGAGATGTGAATAAGACCTTTCTGTGGATGCACGTCGCTCTACTGCCCTGGTAACTGTCCTTGGTAAGCCTACTGAAAGTAAATAGGCAAGTTTTATATTTATATATGCGTGCAAATGCTGAAATGTGTATGTTTTTATATATGTGTGTTCTTACCTATATATGTATTATATTCGGAGATGTCTTACCCGGCCTTCCAGTACTCGAAGGGAGCTTATGGAAAAGAGGGAGAGCAACTTTTTACACAGGCAGATAGTGACAGGGCAAGGGGGAATGTTTTCAAACTAAAAGAGGAGAGATTTAGATTAGATGTTAGAAAGAAATTCTTCCCTATGCTGCAGGTGGTGTGGCCCTGGCACAGGTTGCCCAGAGAAGCTGTGGCTGCCCCATCCCTGGAAGTGTTCAGGGCCAGGTTGGACGGGGCTCTGAGCAACCAGGTCTAGTGGAAGGTGTCCCTTCTCATGGCAGGGGGTTGGAATAAGGTGAGCTTTAAGGTCCTTTCCAACCCAAACCATTCTGGGATTCTATGATTTTTCATCTTTATATGAATTTAAAGGGGAAATTATCAATTTATGTTTATAGTTAAGGCTGGATGATAATAGAGGATTTAACTTCATTAAATATAGTCTGTGTTTCATATGCTGAATGTATGTTTTCTACATATCTAATAGTAGATTGTTTTGTTTCTTCTACTGTCTGTAGTCTGTCCTATTCTTATAATAAGAAAATTACCTTTAGTGTTATATATTTATCTTACGTTAATATCAGAAGAATCACTGATGAAACAGGTGTTTTATTTTCTAGGGAGGACTTTAAAGAGAGCTGAAAATGAGATGCCCTTACCATGAATGGCCCAAAGCTCTGGGTGTGCACATCATTGATGAGCTGCAGATGAACACAGCGTTTGCCTCAGAAGATGGATGTGAGTGTGGACTGGGGCCCTGGGAATGACATTTGTGACACAGGTGAGAAGCATTCAAATTATTCCAGAAAGACAACTAAGCAGGAAGGCCACACACTTAGCATCCAGAAGGAGGTAGACATGAATTACTCACAGATGTTCAGTCCTCTTTGCAACTCTGCTGGACCTTCAGGTAAGCAGGAGCTTCCTACAGAGCTGCAGTGTGAAGATAAAGAAACCTGTGAGACCTACTACCAGAAAGAAGGTGAGAATCCAGCTGGGGTGTTTGTCCCTTCCGATACCAACTTTGACCTGCAGTGTGAAGATAAAGATTTAGAGCACAGTTCCTCTGACTGCTCCAGGAAACCACGGGGAAGACTCCACGATGGTAATGAAAATACCATTCTTGGTGACATGTTTGCAGAGGACCTGGAGCCTGTCTCCGAGGAAGCTTTGCCGCATCGGTGCAAGAAGTGTGGTTCCTCTTTCCAGGGTATGAGCGAGCTGCAGGAGCACAGGCGAACTCACCTCGTGGAAAACTCCTACCGCTGTCCCACCTGTGCCAAAGAGTTCTTCCGTGCGGCAAACCTGCGGATGCACAAGCTCATCCATTCCAGCGACAGGCCGCACAAATGCCCGGAGTGTGACAAGGGCTTCATCCGCACGGCCGACGTCTGGAGGCACCTGCGCAACGTGCACAAGATCGAGCGCTCCATGGTGATCCTGGGAAACGGCATGGCCAGGAACCCCTGGTCCGTAGTGCACCGTAACCAGCACGCTGTTGAGTACAGCGATCGGCCTTGCGCGGAAAACCAGAAGCCCGAGGAGGACGACTACAAACCTTACACCTGCCCGACGTGCGGCAAAGGCTTTGACAAGCCCAACCTGCTTTCCAAACACAAGGTGATCCACCGGGAAGACAAGCCCTACAAGTGCCAGGAGTGTGGCATGGCGTTTGTCCAGCTGCTCAGGCTGAAGAGGCACCAGCAGACTCACTCTGGGGCGCGCCCCTTCTACTGCGAGGAGTGCGGGGGGACGTTCACCCGGCTGGCGTCGCTCCAGCGCCACCACCGCATCCACACGGGAGAGAAGCCCTACTCCTGCGGTTACTGCGGGCATTCCTTCACTGAGTCGGGGACCCTGCGGAGGCACGAGCGCACACACAAACTGGACAAACCTTAATTCTTGGCTCATTTGTGGTTGCGGTCTCCTCGGTTGCTTCTCACCTGAGCCAGGTCTGCTCTGTTGGGCTGGAGAAGGCACCCACTGCGAGCGCTCTGCCCGGTCCAGACCCGCTGCCCCAGCAGGAAACGCTGCATCACAGGGATCTCTGGAACTTGTACTGGTAGAGGTTGCACTGACTGGCTTTGAACTGCTTTGTATGAACAAATTACCTAATTACCACTGAATAATGAAATTACTGCACGTGGGGAGACTGAAATCACTCACATGTGCTCGTGCTGTCTCAATTTGCTGGACTGACCATGCATCAGCTTGAGCTTTGTGCAAGGATGCACAGGCTGTGAGACTTCTCTCCACAGCCTCAGTCACTGGATAAATTGGCCCTGGCCTCTTGAATGTGATGGCTCTCTGGCACTGGGTTTGGAGATCTGTTGTTGCAGGTCTTTGCTAAGTCAAAACAGTCCAGAATTGTCCCTCTATCCCTTCTGTCCTTGTATTTTGCTGAGTTTTTCTTTCCACTACATTTTTTCTATTTGGAGGGGGAATATCATGTTGGTTATTTAAAAAAAACACCAAACCAAAACAAAAAAACCTACAAACCACTTCCTTAATAAATGCAACAGTTACCAGCTGTATTTCACAAGTGGTATTATGTAAGGGAGTACCGATACTTTATGCACTTTTATGTGATGAGTTGAATGTCTGTTAATAATGGGAAAAGCTTTATTTTGACTATGATGATGCATGCTCTTGGCATGAAGGGTTGGAATGCATTTATGTCTCTAATGGAACCATGCACTCTATCCTTCAACACCAGCTGAGTATTGTCCTAAGAAGCATTTGAGAACACAAAATTCAAAGAGCAAAAGACCAAATTTAAGCCACCTTTGCTACTCATCGCATGGGAATCTCCTTAATTTAAATGTTTTCACACATAAGGAAGCTTCCCATAACAAAACCGTGTTTTGTGTTCTGTGATGTGTCTGAGTGCTACTGAAGTGTCTGCTTGACTCTTCACTTTGATTTAGATGGTTAGTGAATAAAAGTTTCCTTACAAACTAGCCTGGCAGATTCAGGTGCTGCCAAATACTCCAAGGCTGTAACTTCCAAAGAGGTTGGTATTGCCTCAGTTATGGCAGTGGGGTTTTAACTTTGAAAGTTTATAATGACGTTTTTATCTGCTGTTAACCACTGTGGTAGAAGCATCCAGTTTGTCCTTAATTTGCAGCCTGAGTTTCCTTTCCATATCAGCTTCCTTTTCCCCTGCCAGCTGCCATAATTTCACTAATTCCTTTCCAGTGCTTTCTGCCTTTTCAGAAGGAAGTTGTGCAGCAGAGTGAAGGTAAAGCTTCAGGGTAATGTACCTTTGCATTAACTACCAGGCTATTTAATATAAAATACTAATTGTACCGTTAGTTTGCTTATTCCATGGAGTAAAAAATAATGATGGCTGTTCAGCACCTTCCACCTGTGCGAGAGCTGAGCAGGTGTCACACAACTGTGGGTCCTGCTGTGTTTGATGTGAGGTCCTTGGCTCAGATCGAGCTGAACCACTGTCTGCAGCAAAACTTTAACTCGATTATGAATTGGAGACTAATTCTCCTGGCATCACTGATGGGTCGTTTTTATTTAATTCCTCAAAGAAACCTCCAGATGGGGGAACTGATCTGCATCCTGCTTCTGAGGATGTGTTCTGTTGTCTGTGTACTTTTGTAATGCTGGGATGGCTGGACCCTGTGTACCATGTGCATTCACTATAGTGGGACTGAGACTTCTCCAAACTCCCCTCCAGGCAGGAAGTTCCAGTACCGTTTTAGGTTTCCAAAGGGCTTTTGCTGGGGCCCCTTAGCAACAGCTCAGTCTTATCTGAGGGCTGCTTAGCCTCTCTAAGAGGAAAGATCTTTGCATGACAAGAATCCTGGCTGACTGTGGGTAAGTGATCTGCAGAGAGAGGTCAACAGTGCTGTTCTATGGGGACTGTGACGTTCAACACCTTCTGAAGTGACCTGGAGAGAGAGAGGGCAGATAGTGAGGTGACAAAGCTGTTCTAGAAGCTTTCATGCAATAAGTTTCCACGCTCATCTTCTAAACCCATTTTGAAGTTGTCATCTACAGCCTCCCCTGTTCAGCATCCTGCTTCTCCCTTGGGTATGCAATGCTCTTGCTGCAGGGGGTTTTAATATCCAATTAAACTGCACCACTATGCACATCTTTATGTTGTGTGACTGTTCTGCTTAGGCAGTTGCAGTAATTGAGAAAATCCAGTTATTCTGCTTTTCGATGTTAGCACTTGGTGGAATTTGTACCTATAAGATAATGGTGAAAGTATTTTGAATGAAGGTCTGTTATATGGGAAGAGGAAATGGATGGTGAAATGAGAACCACTAGGCTTAACTAAAAGGTTATTAAAAAGACACTTGCCTGGAAGGTTGACTCGCATATAAAGTGCTTGGATGTGTGAAAGGAGTAATTAAAATGTGATGGCTTCTGGGACAAGTGTGTTGAACTTCTTCAAAGAAACTTCCATTAACTCCTTTGCAAGATACAGTGACCTATAAAACGTGACTGCCACCCCTGGCAGAGGAAAGGATGGAGTCAGCCAGGCATGTACCTTCATTGTTCTTCCAGATTGGTCCCCAAATCCTTCCTGGAAGAGCTTGCATGCAGGACATTGGACAGGGCAAGAGATGGGACAGGCTGAGGCAGAATGATACCGACTGGAGAAGCACACTACTCTGGGTTTCATCCCTCACCTGCTCACCTTGAGAGGGAAGGGGTGCTTGTCCTAAAACCACACAGAGCCCTGTTCTCCCTTATGGAAAGTCAGTGGTGAACAGAAGGCCAGGATGTGCTCAGGTTCACTCTGCATGAGAGAGACTAAAATCCTGGGATACTCTGACTTGGGAAGACATCAGAAACATTCCTAAACTGTAGCTGTCTCCTGCAAATGAACCTGGAGTTGGGTTGGCAGAGCAGGAGAGGTGGAAGGAAGGGCCAGAGGCAGGGGTACCTTGGGGTGATGGGCTGAAGCATAAGCCAAGCATGGCTGGTGGAGATGATGGTGAGGGCAAGGATGACTTGGGGTTGTGTCTACAGGCATAACTTTCATGTGAAAAACATGCTGGGACTTGGATCCTGATCGGATTGGCATCCAGTAAATAAATATCACTTTTTTCTTTCAGCTAATGGGAAAGGTGGAAAGTGATTTCTGTTTTCTCACACACACCGGGGCCCTTGCTGCACTGAAGAGGTACATCTGCTGTGTCCCCTCATCTTTCAGACCCACCTCTGCTCCCATGAGACACTCAGGTGTGGGGGGGTGAATCTTTCTGTGTTCATGGAGTTGTGAAAAACAGCTGGGAGTCCCCGCAGTGTCGAACCCTGTCTGCACAAGGATGCTCCAAGGTGGGTTCCTATCCAGAGAATCACCTTCCCTTCCCCATAGGCTCAGATGCAGCTGCTGCACCAGTGTGACTGGTGGGGAAGCAAATGATGCTGGACAGGAGGACAGCACGGGATGGGACTGCAGATCCACTGTGGAGCTGCTCCCAGGCAGGTGCTGGAAAGACCTTTCAAGCCAATTTCATAAACCAGAAAATGAAGCTCTGAGCCCTTCACATGCGTCACTTGAGCAGGGAAATCTGACTTGCAAAATGTGGCTTGTCACCAAGTGAGGCTGGATAAACCAGGTACTGACCACTAAACACCTCTCTCGTCATTTGGAAAACCCTTGGGCTCTGGCATTTGGGGATGCAGCAGTAACTAGACACTAATTACCGAAAAAGGAAGACAAAAATAAAAAGCCAAAAATGCTTCTTGACCTTTTGTTCTTCGCAGCAGACAGGTGAAAACAGTATGTTCCCAGCAGTAGCTCTTAATTATTTCACCACTGCACATCCCTCTTGCACTGCAAGTTAGAAATGTCAGTTTAATTCTCTTTTAATTGCCTCAGCTATCAGATACCTGAGAGAAGCCATTTTTACCAACTGTTCTTGGGCTCAGAAAGCAGGTTATTGCTGTAGAAATACTCTGCATTTCTGCTTTGGAAAGGGGCTCTACTGAGGGGAAAGCAAGGGGTGCAATTATTTTGCCTATAATTACTGTATCCAGCCTGCTCTGTGTGAAAAGGTTGTGTGTTTTGCAGTGCTTGTCTCACTGGCAGCACAGGAGGGTTTGGGCTTTTGTTTGTGTGCATTTGGGGTGCTTCAGGCTTACCATGCTCCTCACCTGCATCAGGCAGGGATGCCTCTAAAGCTCCTCCACTCCCAGGGCCATTGCTGTAGGGAACCTGGATTTTAGAGCAGGAGGGGATGACAGGCATGAGGAGCAGAGCAACTGGGCAGCTGTTTCTTAATGTAGCTGGTTTTGTCTTTGGTCACATTGATTTATGCTTAGATATGATGCTCTTGATCCCTCTAATGGCTACAGTGCTTATTTGAAAGCATGGATTTTTATTTTCTGCACTCTGTTAACTATTTTCCTGCTCTTTAAAATACAGAACTACCAGGAAACAAAATGCAGAAGTTATTAATTACAGAGGCCCTGGGGCTCTGCCAGGTTTCAGATCCAGTGGCTGTTTCTCTTGATGGCTGAGGAGCTCAAATGTTCCAATGCCAGGCAAGCAGGAGCTGCTGCTTCCATTCCTGGAGGGCCCAGCAGAGATGCAGAGTCATGCAGTATAAAAAAATACGATCTTAATAAAGGTCACCCGGCCACACAGAGTATTTCTAGAGAAATAAAAATAGCAAGAGGGTGAGAATCTAAGAACAACACCTTGGAGCTGTGATGGTAAAGGTGGGAAAGCTGCCTGGCATCCCACTAGGCTGGCTCAGCAGAGCAGATGCCCTGTGAGCTGTTGGCAGAGCATGTGGGGAGGCCAAGCTGCTTCCTGCCCCTGGGCACAGACACAGCAGTGCAGGCACATTTCTACCACTTGAAGAGAATTAAAATCAGACCCTGACCTCGAGCCAGGTGCAGCCAGCACCCAGTGGGTTTGCTGTCTCTGGGACATGCAGTGCTGAGAGCTGGCCTACGACAGTTTTATTTTCACCGGTGCTCTTTGCAGGTTTGCAAGCAGGTCAGCAGGCTCTGCCCCGCTCCTGTGCGAATGTGTAACATTGCCCAGGGAACTCAGGATGTGTGAGGAGTCTGAAGAGCAGCGTGTGCCTGCTCCCCATGCTGGAGAAGGAGGGCATCTGAGCAGTTGCTTCTCAGGAAGGCAAATCTGATTGCAAACCCCAGCGGAGAAGTGGAGAAGCCCCATTCCTCTCCCTGACAAGAGGTGCAGCAAATTCCTCTTTGGATGCTCAATTCCTCTCTGGATTTACTAGTATCCCCCCTCACCCTGATGGGTGAGCACGGGTGGGTAGCCAGCCTGGCAGGAGCAGCCCCCAGGCTCCTGTGTAGGAGAGCAGAGCATCCTGTGCAAGTGTGTGGGTGTCCGGGTCACCTTTTTGTGTCCAGCAGAGCAGCTACAGAGCCTTTGAAGCTGGGACCTCTTTCCTCATCCCAACTTTGGTGCCTGCATCAAAGAGAGCAGCCTGGGAAGTACAGGAGGGTTGCTCTGCCTGCCTGAGCCCTTTCCCACTCCTCCCTGCTGATGATGGAGAGCACCAGCTGTCTGCTCGAGTTGTGCCTCCCACCACACCTACCAGGAGGCCTTTGCCTGCTCCTGGCTTTTAGATACTATTTCCACTTCTGCTGGAGAGAGCCCCAGCACCAGCAGAGCTCTCAAGTGCTTTTTCCTCCACTTTCCTCACAGGACTTCATGCTGTGACTTTCATCTCTGGTACCGTGTGATAAATCCTTGTTTTTATTCCCATTCAAGATGTGTTTGTCACTGTCTGGTCAGTCCTTGGCCACTGTGAAAGCAGTTTCTCCCTCCTCACTAGTCCAGCACGTGTGTTTCTGTCTCTCTCCACTGTGTGAGCTTTCCTGCAGGGATATTTCCTCCCTGCTTCCCTTACTGCCTGTCTCGCACATGCTGCTTAGCTTTCCTTTCCTCACAGGGGAGATTTCTGTCTCCTCTCCGGCATCAGGATCGAACCTTTCCCCTTATTTTGAGCTCTCTCTTATTTATTGCCCTCACTTCATGGGCAATCTCAGCACTGAGGACTCTCACCCTACAGTTGTTTTATTTGGGATTAGCAGAAATTAAATCCCCCAAACCCCTGGCAACAGGTAATAATTCGGCAAAAACACTACAGAGCAGCCTTCAGCCTTCAGCATTGCTGACTAGGACTTTACACCTGAAAAGATGGGAGTATGATCCTAATGCCAGGAGCTGGGAGAGCATGTGGGAAGGGGTAATTACCCCTGGGCTGCACTTGGAGCATCTTAAAATGGCCCAGAGCACAGTACCAGTCACCAGGTGAATGCCTGCCAAAGCTGTCACCATCCCACTGCCTCCTCCCCAGGTGCTCATTTCCTCTGGTTTTCCTCTCTTGGATAACTTGCATGCAGTAGATGAGAGCACATGCCTTGGAAACGGCTTTAGATCCAATAAAGGAATCAATGTTGTGACGCCACAGGAAACCAGAGACGTGCAAATCCATTTCTCTCTGAAGTTGGAGCCAACTGGGCCAGGAGGTCACTGCTGAGTGACGGCGTCCGTGAGCGCCCGTGAGCCGCTGCTTCAGCGGGGCACTGTTGCTCTCCAAGGGGCTGAAACCATTATTTATTGCCTGGATGTGATGTAAATGAAGGATCCCTGTTCACAGTAGCCTGAAATCCTCCTCCAAATGGTTTTATTCCCATGTAACCTCCTGTTGCACTGGAGCCAACCCCAGCGCACCAGCAAAAAGTGTTCGCTGGGTCTTGGCAGCATCTCTACAAAGTGGAGGGGTTTAGCTTGGGGTGGGGAAATAATAGGGCAGGGGACGTTTGAATTGGATTTTAGGAAAAATTTCTTCACCCCAAGGGTTGTCAAGCACTGGAACAGGCTGCCCAGGGAAGTGACAGAATCACCCTGGAGGGATTTAAAATATCTGTAGCTGTGGCCCTTGGGGACATGGTTTAGTGGTGGGTGCTGGGTTAATGGTTGGACTGGATGATTTTAAAGGGCTTTTACAACCTTAACAATTCTATGGCTCTATGATTCTGTGACTTGAAGCCTGTCACTGAGTATAAAATGGGCACACTTTAAAAACCAGAGGGCAAGAGAAAGCCATGGGAAGAGACCTGCAGGAGTCAGACACAGGTTCATCTTGTTATGGTGAGAGGAGCATCATCATGGGGACCAGCTGAGGCCCTTGACAAGCTATAAAGAGAGCAGGGAGGAGGGCTGGAGCCCTCTCTCCAACACGGGTTTCCGAAAGTAGTGCTGGGTTAGTGTGGTCCCTTGGTGACCCTGGCATTGCTGATCCCTCTCCAGTTGTGCTGCATGTTTTGGGGGCATGGGGGGGAGGCCCCTCCCCATGCCCACCTCCTTCACGAACAAAAAAGAAATGCTGCAGAAGAAAAAAGGTAATTTTTATTAATATTGTTCTCCCCTTCAGTCTTTCGAAACAGGGTAGAATAAACTGTCCTCCCTGCTTAGGTCTGTGAGTAACATGTTTTCCTGGGCTGGTTCTCCCTGCAGCAGAGCTCTGGGCTGAACACGCAGCCAAGGAAAAGCCTTGAGAGGTGCTGTATATAATAAGAAAACACAAAGTCATAAGACCTGGGTGAGAAAATGATTTAAGAAGAAAAAGATGTCACAAAATCTATAGCGTGCAAGTAAGTGCTTTTTAAAATTATTTTTCTTTGTAAAGTCCTTCCTTTTTTCCTTGCAGTCCCTGGACTGCTCTGAAATATGCCTGGTATTTTCCCTGGTAACCACAATTAGGTTATGGGGTAAACACCATGTTGCCTGCCCACAGAGAAGTAACAGTGGGAGGAAATCCAAATAATACCCTGTCTAAGTTGCTCCCAGGCTCATTGCAGGAGCTGTCAAAGGTACAAAGGCAGGTAGAAGCCCAAATTACAGGCTCAGAGGAGGAGACATCCAGGGTTTCCCTGGGGCTGTCTTGGGAGACCCCCAGCCCCATGGGCTGTCAGGACAAGGCAGCTGGGACAGCTTTCCTGAGCACTGCTGGCAT